ACTATAATGCTGTTTGTCTTGTTTTTTTTTTCTTTCCTATTGATACCAAAAGCAAAGAAAATAAGTGAATATATGACTTACAAAAAAATGAGTATACTTATGATTTGCAAAGAAATTGAGTCTACATATGGCTTCACTGAGCACCATAGCCACGGTGACTTTGCCAGGTGTATGTATGTACGTGTATCTTCTTTATCACTATGTTCACTGTCATTGTGCAGTGGCAAATAATTTCAGGGAAACTTCTGTAGCCAGCTTGTATTATACCAAATAAGGAATCTTTAATTTTGTCCCTGAGTATGCAATATATTCTGTAAAATGAATGCTTCTGCTAACTTGCCCAAGATCAACAATAATCAGCATTTACTCCCTTTCCTTAACTTAGCCGAACTGCCACGTAGTTAGCAGTCTTTCTGTATAGATACATTGTAGTTTCCATATTACATGTAAGTAATGTCATTAGGTATGGAATTTTATTTTCCCATTCTTGTTTGCAGTTGGTTTCAGAATGTTCAAAAGAATAAGACTTCTTGATTGTATTACTTTGAAGTTGGAGTCTAGCACCCTTATTTACTGAATAGGAATTCTGACATGACAATTTAAAAATGTAATAGGATAGAAGAGGAAGTAATCTCAAACTTCTGGAGTGCTCCTTTACATAGGAGGCCAAGTGAGCATAAATCAGCCTGAGTGTCAGATGAGGAGGAGTCAGCCACAGGGAGCCTGGGGGAAGATTACTCAGTACAGACACTAGCCAGGGCAAAGGACCTGAAGTAGAAATGAGGTGGCAGGAACAGACTTACCTGGAGAGTGGTACAGCGGGCACCGAGAGGTAGGTGAGGAGCCAGATCATTTTGGGCCAGCTCAAGGGGTTTGGATTAAAAATAATAATAAAGAGGGAGAGGAGAAAAAGCTACTTAGTTTCAGATCTTGGACAAGCATTTAGGTTTTACTGGTTCCAACATTCAAACCCAATATATTTCCTAATGTGGAACTATGCTGCTTTGAAGAGAATACCTGTGATATTTTCTAAATTAAAATTATACTTGTTCTATTTATATTCATTAAATGGTTATACATACAGTATTTATTACATTAATACTCGCTGAAGTATTGTAACCTATCACTAAATCAATAGGGATAACTCAAAGTCAAAATTATCTTTTTCAAAAAAATATTCTGATATCACTGATAAATGATTTAACTTTTGAAATTATAATAGGCATTTTTGGTTGTCCCTAAAGTAACCATTTCTTACCTTAATAATGGTTCCCCAATTTTCATTGTTGTGTACTCTGCACATCCTTCTAAAAAGCAGGTTTCTCCTCCTTATCCAGAGAAAGACCTAAGTCTTAAGGGTAAGTCCATCCCTTTGCTAGTGATTTATTCATGGGACCCAGAATTAAGAGAACTGGAGCATGGCGTCATACTGAATAAGGAACTGTTTCAAAATAGTTTTGTCTCCAGGCCAAGAGAGATGAGAGGCATTCTAGGGAGATCTTGGATTCTTCATTTATTTGGTATTAAGAGATTGTTGCTGCAAGAGGTAGCATTTTCTTTCCATAATGTCATATATTTATATGGAAAGCTGCAAAGATTTTCTGCCAGACTAAGACTGAAACTACAAGGCAAAGTTGAGGGGCAGAGCTGAGAGATTTGCATAAAAAGGCGCTGAAGCCTAGACTGACTGAACATTGCAGGCCGTGTCTTTAATATGTAGACTTTCTCAGTTAAATACGCCAATTTATCCTCTTCATTGTATGAACCAGGGTTGTTTTCTGCTACATGTAACTTATACTAGCTTCAATGTAAATGTATGTTCATTAAAAGGTAAGATAAATGTAAAATATTTTAAATAGTCTACACTTTCTTGAAAATTATTTTCTGTATATTTTGTCATACATCTGTTCTTTAAAAAACAAAAATATTTCAAAATACATAAATGTTCTGTTGGACTACAGGAAACACTAAAATGAAGCATATTATTTGAAATCTTTTTAATATTTCCTGAGGAAACTAAAATGTCTGATTTATTCTTTTGAGATTTTTTTTTCTAGTTCTAGGGTAAGTATAGCCAACCTGTAATTTAATTGTCTCTTAATTGCAAAAGGAAGTTGCTGAACATATTATCAGTCAGTGAAATTTCATCTAGAGTTTAATCTTTTTCAATAAAACTTTCTATAATTTTACATTAAATATTTTAGACATTTTTATGAAAGTAAAACATTGTTTTTTCCTGATTGTAAGTATCCCCTGAGAGCAATTCTAACATTGTGTTGAATCTAACCCCACAGGGTAACATTTCCTTCCTCTTACTTCATTTTATTTTATTTCATTTTATTTTTTAACATTTTTATTGATTTATAA